CTTTGCTCTGATACCATATTAGATAGAAAAAACTTATTATTCATCTTCCTTTCTGTATACAAATCACCTCTCTTATATGACATTATCTAGTCTATACATGGTAAGAATCTATACAATTATTACAATTAATGAAATATATTTTCTGTCTAATTATCTCCTGATTTTGTGCCTAATATGTCTTGCTAACAGCTTGGAGTTAAATTAGAAAAATGCAAGTTTGTGGGATATCTAAAAGAAACTGCTGGATATGTATTTCTACCATCCTATTGAGAAAAAAAGATGTTTATCTCAAAACATGCTACCTTTCTAGAAAAGAATTTGTCCTTAAAGGAATTAGTGAGAGTAAGGTAGAACTTAAAGAAGTTTAAGAACCACAAATTAACATCCAAATGGAACAAGGGCTAGGACTGTAGCATTAGATGCATAGCCTGAAGCTCAAGTAGCACAACTTTCAGATAAATCTGTTAGGATGCATCAAGCTCCAAAGAGGTAAGAACTTCTTATGGAAGTTGGTAATGATGCATTGCTCATGCTTGATGAGCTTCGAAATTATTAGGAAGCAATGTCCGACATTAATTCCACAAAATGGCTTGAGGCTATGAAATCTAAAATGGATTTCATGTAGACTAACCAGGTATAGATCTTGGTTGATCTACATGAAGGGATAAAACTCACTAGGTGTACAAATATACAAAACTAGATTGGTTGCCAAAGGTTACAGATAAAGGTAAGATGTTGACTTTAATGAAACCTTCTCACTAATAGCTATGCTTAAATCCATAAGGATTTTGCTTGTAATGGTTGTCTAGTATGATTATGAGATTTAACAAATGGATGTCAAAATTGCATTCCTAATGGGAACTTACTTGAGGATGTGTACATGACAGAACCTGAAGGTTTTGAGTCTAAAGAATTTGCCAATAAAGTATGCAAGCTACAAAAGTTATGGACTTAAGTAAGCATGGCGCAGTTAGAACATCTGTTTTGATGAAATTATTAAACAATTTGATTTTATCAAAAAAATAGGATGAACCTTTTGTATATAAAAATGTAACTGGGAGCAGAATTGTGTCTCTTATTTTATATGTAGATGACATTATTAATAGGAAATGATATATCATTTCTCCAATCTATAAAGATTTGGTTGTCTAATAACCTTTCCATGAAGGACATGCAAGAAGTAGCTCATATATTGGGAATTAAGATCTATAAAGATAGATCTAAAAGGTTGCTAGGTTTATCTCGATCAATATATACAGACAAAGTTCTTAAACGATTTAGCATGAAGGAATCCAAAAGAGAATACATGTCTATGTCATATGGAGTACGTCTATCAAGAGACATGTTTTCTAAAACACAAATTGAGATATAGGATGGAAAGAGTTCCATATTCCTTTACAATAGGATCTATAATGTATCTTATGCTTTGAACATAATGAGTAGATACCAATCTAACCTAGGAGAGGGATATTGGGCAACATTACAAAAGCATTCTTAAGTACTTGCAAAGAACTAAGAATGTCTTTCTGCTCTATGGAGATGCTGAACTAAAATTTCAAAGATCTTCATATGCTAGTTTCCAGTCAAATGATAGCAAATCATAATTTGGATACATCTTTTATTCCAAATGGTGGTGATGTGAGTTGGAAGAGTTCCAAGTAAGAAATGATTGCATATTCTACAACTAAGGTTGAGTACATCTCTGCGTCTGAGGTGGCGAAAGTGGTAGTTTGGACAAAAAAGTTTACATCTGAACTAAGTGTCGTTCCTAGCATTAGTGAACCAGTAACCCTGTACTATGACAACAATGGAGCTATTGCACAAGCAAAGAAATGCAGATCTCATCGACGATCCAAACACGTATTTAGATAGTTCCATCTTATCAGAGAGACCGTTGAAAAGAAAGATGTGAAGAGCGAGTACTCACTGAATAGAATCTTATAAGTCCTCTCATCAAAGCATTTCAGTAGAAACATGATCTCCATATGAAGGCTTATATATTGCATTAAATAAATGGGTGATTGGAATGTTAGTTGGAGATTGTTAATATATTGCATTAAATAAATGGGTGATTGGCATGTTAGTTGGAGATTGTTAATGTATATGCCCTACAACTAATCAGATAGTTTCACATGGACATCATATTTTTCATGTGTTTTATATTTTATTTAATTAAGCATTATTTATCTCTAATATTCAATTAAAGAATCTCGAGTAAAAAAAAAAAAATCCATGGGGACAATGTTACTTTACAAAAGAAATTATAACATGGTTATAACTATAAGATTCTTATTATATTAAACTAATGTTCCTAAATATTCCTAGTCCCTGCTATACCAATATTAGACGATGATCAGTGCCGTTGAGATCGGTATATACTATATTCTTTGCCTTGTGAAAGGAAGTAACTGTTCTCATAAGCTTAAGTATAGGAGATAACCAAAAGAAATATGTCGGTGGTTGTTGTAAGAAAAAGTTCATTGAACTGACCCATACGCTTATTCTATATGGAGGATTACCTAAGACTCAAGTAGTGGATGTTGTGTAAGGGAACCTTCCACTTGAGATCTTTAAGTTATCTTATTTAGGGACTACTGTGTTTCGATCCTTCTACATATTACTCTATATGTGGATAACAAATGAGAAAGAATTGGATATGATAGAAACTCTATTAAGTGCTTGAGTGATCAAAATGGGATTCACCACCCTAGATAAATTAGGGAAAATATTCTACTTGTTCTCTACTAATATTGATCATGAAATCCTTACATAATGTAGAATGAAATTAGTAAATTGGATTTGGAATCTCATCCAAAGGATCAATAGCTATTACTAAGAGAACTAATATGATTTAACATAGCATACATGCTTTATGCTTGAAGAGATATTAATTATACCGAGAGACCATTCATTGAAAGGTTAAGTCAAACCACTATAGACTATTCAAATATGTGGATAACCTTAACATGTTGCTAGACATTGCTCTTTACCTTCAATGTAAATTAAACTAATTACATTTGTTGTCAATATATTTGGACTCTAACGGGTCACACACATAAGGATTGGTATGAGAAATTAAAAATGAGAAGTTAAATCAAGTTGGACTTGATTATAAATAAATTTCAAGAGATTAAGAGTAAAATTGTAATTTCACAAGAACTATAATATTGACCTCAAATATTAAGTACGGACTATATATAAATGTTTCTAAAATTTATTGGATTTAAAAATAAGATATTTTAAATCTTGGTGAACTAATTATAATTTGTTTATTTAATTGATTAAATTAGTAAATTATAACTAGGGTTGCATTATACCTAGTGTGTCCCTCATATGTAGTCCCTTATGTGGATTGTAGACCAGACTTTTGATATCCACCAAAAAATAAGAGATTATATTTTGAGCTAGCACTCAAAATACTTCCTACTTCTCAAATTCGTGCATATATTATTAGAGACCACATGATTGTTCAGTTTTTGATAATCCAACTGAGAGCAACAAGTTTCTAATTTCTACTTGCGAAAGATTTTCACAATAAATATTATTCTAAACTAATTGTCTGTTTATTTAATTAGTTAAATGTGATCCCGTTGATTAAAAAAATTTATTGCTTTGTGTTTTGTTCCATACAAAACCAATATAACGATGAATTGATAACGATGACTATTGGTGATCAATCGATTAACATAATATCTATGTATAATATTATAATAAATTTGTCATTGTTCAGAAAATGTTTTCTTTTTTAAAATAAAATGTATGGTTACCAAACTCTCAGGAAATTGGTTTGAGAAAGTTGGATTCCTATATTTGACTGGTACTTTGTAAGGAAAATTAACTTTCTAAATATGTGAGCCCTATTCATATTTTTCTATATGGATAATTACTATTTAGTCCCTAATTTTAATCAAATATACTCATCCTCATTTTTTATCAAAATACATTTACATCCTTAACTTTTACCCATCCAACTATTTAGTCCATTCGTCAATTTTGATCGATTTTACAGTTAAATTGTCAAGAAAAGACGAATACCTTAATAAAAACTATATAAACTATGCCCATAAATTCCATGACAGAGAAAGTTCATTGATAAAAAAAAACACTCAAATAAAATAATTGCAAAACAAAATCAGAAATCAATATTAAAAATAATATTATTATTTTTAAGAGTTTTTTCTTAAAGGATTTTTAAGAGTTTAATGTTCACTTAAATCTCAACATAAAAATATTAAGATTTCATTTTCAAAATAATGTTGGTTAAAATCTGTTAAAAAAAAAAAAAAAAAAATTAAGAATAAACACCTTTTCCTTTAGACTTCAGATGATGAGTTTTTGGATCGAGTTAAGGATTAAATTTGTTATTTTTGTAGTCTACACAAAAATGGAGAAAACAATATCAGGTTAAAAGGATGAAAATGGAAGGAGCAATGAGAGTTTTGAACCAACGCCATGACTATCTCAAGCCACGAACTCCAAGCTGTAGTGCAAAAGTCCTTTATTCAACACACAACCTCAACAAATTCCTTGCAATCTAGCATCAAACCAGTACCTTTTCCTTAAAATTTGCCACAAAATTAGTAAATCCACGAAAATGGTTCAGACAAGAAAATAACAAAATCCAGATTGAACCCTAATTGAACCCTCTTACCCCTAATTGAAAATTTACAGTGGTGACCAATAATACTAGTCGTGAAGATTTTCCAAGAAGTAATCAACTTGACAGACTCCTGAAATAATTCGGTGAATAAGAATGAACATGCCATCGATTTGGTTTAAATTTTTTATTAAAATTACAACCAAACCAAATATAAAAATTCAAGAATAATTTCTCGTATTCCAATTTGTAAATCCACTTGTGCAAATTAGCTTCGCCTTGTCCTCAACTGCATAGCCACAAATTTTGATTTCAAAGTGGGCCCAAGGTGTAAGGTCACCACAAGCCTTGTGATGTTCAAAACTAGCTAGAAGAACAAAAATTTGCCAATAGGAGTGAAGCAATCTCACCTTATCCAAACTCCAACCACAACCTTCATCATCCACATCACTCCTTATCATCATCATTCATCTTTCTTAAACAACATAAACAAGTTAATTACATTCCATTTTTGTTTTAAGAAAATTTTTGCAGAAATGGCAGCCATGAACTCTAGTGTTTTGGCATCCAACTATGTAATCTCCGGCACTGGATCATCTGAGCTCAGCTCAAAGCTAGCTTCAATGCCTGCAACTGTATCCCCAGCTGTTTCTGGTCCTAAGTTACCTGTGATCAGATCCCAACAAGCTAAAGCTTTTGATTCTAAAACTGAAGGAAGAAGAGGTGCTATGCTTTGTCTTGCAGCCACCCTTTTCACCTCTGTAGCCGCTGCTTCTTCTGCCAATGCCGGAGTCATTGAGGACTACCTTGAAAAGAGCAAAGCTAACAAGGTCTGTTTGTTTTCATTTTCCCTTTGTGAATAAGTTATATTCTTCTTAGAAAATACATCAAGAATTAAATAGATTCATGTTAAATAATTTGTTTCTGTTGTCGTTTTTGATTGTTATAGGAATTGAACGACAAAAAGAGGTTAGCCACGAGTGGTGCAAACTTTGCAAGAGCATACACAGTAGAATTCGGCTCATGCAAGTTCCCTGAAAACTTCACAGGCTGCCAAGATCTTGCAAAGCAAAAGGTACAACTAAATCATGCACAATAATCTTTTAGAGGATTAGTAAAATGTTTATATTAATCAATATGTTATGCTGTGGTATTTTGCAGAAAGTGCCATTTATCTCTGATGATTTGGCCTTGGAGTGTGAGGGAAAGGATAAATACAAGTGTGGTTCCAATGTTTTCTGGAAATGGTGAAAAGGGCAAGGTTGTCTATTTAATTTTCCCCTTCTCCAACTTGTATCTAGTCCGTGCAAGAACTAAAAATTGAACTCTACGATTCTGGTCTTTCTACTTATGATTTTCTTTGTTTCTTTCTTGATCCTTGCTCGACATATAGACTGCAATAGTGTTTTAGAGTGAACTAACAGAGAAATTAGTTAATGCACCATGATGCTTCCCCTGTTTTAGGATTTCTTACTGGAAATTAATATAAAAATATGCAGGCATGAAAATCATTAGCTTATGCAAAGATAATTGATGAACATTCGCACCGATTCAGTGACCAATGGCTCGTTATATATATGAACTATTGTGATAATATAACTGGCTAAACGTCAAATAAATCTCCAGCCTGCATACGGGTTAAGTCATATCTTAATTCTACGTTGAATCTTGAAAAGGAAGGAAAAAAATAACACACCTTATATGGTGCAAAACACAATTATATGTAAAAACTAGACGATGATTTTCTTCTCTTTAGTATAGATTTTAGCAAGGCACGCAGTTCTTTTACAGTAATGCTCCATAATAACTCACAGATCAGCAGAGACCTTTCACTAAACAAGGCCAAGAACTAGATGTGAGGTATAGTCAGTTTCAGGCCAGGAAAAAAGAAAAATTATCAATAGATTCTGCCATTTTATGTGCAGCATTCTGTGATTAATTACAAAGAATCATTAGCACTCTATAAAGTGCATGTGAAAGAATGAAACCCCCAAGAAAATTTGGTAAATAATTCAAGTCAGTCGCCTTTCTGCCAATTGTATGGCATTATGCGAGCAGCATTCTGAGAGCTTATTGACACTGCAGCTTGATGAATTCATGCCCAACCAAAAATCATACAACTCACGGGCTGCTCAACCAAGATCTGTACTGTGATTCTTCATAAGAATCCAATCGAACCACATTATGTACCACACTCATAATGTGGTTCTGCAACTCTAATGTGACAAAGCAAAGTCTGCCGAAAGAAATTGGAGTGACTCTCCAAGTTCAACAGAAATTTCAAACACCCAGGGTTACCAGTGAGCCTCAAGAGTATTAACACCCTGATGCAGAGACATTATTCTGCAACTGGGGACATGGCACTGGAAGTACCTTATTGGCAAATCCAGTGACGAATTCACAATGCCATGATGCAGATGATGTCAACCCAATCAACGTAACATTTTTCATGCATATATCACTAAATGGTGAATTCTTGATTCCCAGCAAAACTGGGGCTTTTGTTGAATTCAAACTAACCACATTACTTATTCTTACACCTTTCACAATCGGTAATGCCTTTGGATCCCATTCTTCATCAGGGTGATCATTGGACCCTCTACTGAACCTAATTGGAATCTTGACTCTCTCCATTGTTATATTATTTATAGTGATATTTGCTATATATCCTCCTCTGCCTTCGTCAGTTTTTATTCTCACCCCTGCTGCTGAATCCCAGATATGTACAGCTTCAATCATTACATTAAATATCCCTCCAGACATCTCACTACCTATCCCAACCCCAGAGCAAGTTGGGGTTGTGCCTGAAACTCTCCTCACTATGATGTTTGAGCTAGGACGAGCCATTTTGATCCCATACTGATCCCACCCACTCTTCACTGCTACAAGATCATCCCCACTCTCAATGTAACAGTCTTCAACACAGACATTGGTGCTTGAGTCTGCAAAAAGGAAAGGCACAAGAAAATACAAATTGTTTTATCCTTTTCTCCCCTATCCTAACTTCAATTGAAGTGATTGGACAGAATACAAGGAAGTAAAAGTAGTATACCTGGGTCTACACCATCAGTGTTTGGTGCATTAAGGGGAGCCAAAATTGTCATGTCTTTAACCACAACATTACTGAAATAAATAGGAGCTAACATTAGTTGTACAACTTTAATATTCAACTTGAAGAAATTTATGACAAGGTACAAGAGAAGTGAACAAGCACATTGATAACCATCAGTTAAAGACATTATGCCCCACTTAAAACTTCTATGCTAGGCCCCTACGACCTGTAATAAATTTAACTTAAATGAAGACAGCTGGGACGATATTGAGATGCAGCAACAAATATTCAAGGACGTTAGAGAATAGCATGGTTATACACCCATGATAACAAACAAACATGGTAATAAATTTTCTGCAGCAAAACAAGGGGTTTACAGGGTAAGGAGTCTAATTAGTCTTATCTTATGTTCTCTTATTACAAAGGATATGAAGTTTCAGCCCATTTACATCAGCAATACTACTAAGATGGTTTCATAACATACTGTTTTATATTGACAAGGAACATTCTGATTAAAATTTATGCTAACTACTGTCTGCAGAAGACAACAGAAACTAGTAAGGTTAAAAAATGAGAAAGAAACCTGCAATAAACGGGATGAATGGTCCAAAAGGGAGAATTGCGGAAGGTAAGGTTGGAGATGAGAATGTTCTCAGAGTTCATTACTTCTACAAGGTGGCCTCTCGTGTAATCCAGTGTTCTATTCCACCATAATTCCCACCACATCTTCCCTTGACCATCAACTGTTCCATTGTTTCCTGCAACCCAAATTAACTAATAAATATTTGTGACCAAAGCTATAGGCCAAAAAGAAAATCCAAAATTTTTACAAAGGATATCATCAAAAGACTTTTTGCTTTTGTAGATTCAAACTGAGAAAAAAGGTCAAGAACATTGGGTTGCCACTGATTTTCAGCTTGCTACTGGAATTCTGAATATAAGATATAAATTACCGCAGATATTGGACGAACATAAACCGATGAGGGTCTTATGAACACTATATAGTTATCCCACTTGAAAAATATTTAATATATGTAGATTCTACATGATGTTTAAATTTAGCCAGTTTTGATTCAGATTGATTGTTTGGCTCCATAGTTTACTGTGGAAGGAAAAGTTCCGCTGGCCTAACACATAGCATGAGAAAAATACAATTAATTGTCCTTATCTAGTGAAGATGCTTACGTTCACCACCACAAAAGGCAGTGTATACAAACAAAACTCTTTGTTGACCATTTATATTAACTAACAAGGATGCCACAGGTTCCAGGTAGTTTCTGCTGATTCAACTCAAACAAATAATCCTGTCAATTTGAGATAAAGGATAGAGGCACTAGTTTGTTTTTAATTTTTTTTTATATGCAATGTGTCTTATGATGACACATAGCTTTCAGTTTTATTAACTCCAAGGAACATGGACAAATACAAGGAATCAAAATTTTGCAAACGAAAATATTACAGTTTATAATCCACTCTTAGATTCATGATCACGTATTTAGAATTAGCCCTTTTTTCCCCCATTTTTTCATTCTTCAGCCTCAATCAATGAAAGCACTCAAACAACTATCAACTTAAAGAATCACCTACATGTATGAATCAAGGGCAAGATAAAAAAGATGTGAAAATTCTGGGTACCTGTAATGACAACATTAGTAAGTCCATTTCCATGAATAAGGCTAATATGTCTTCCTCCTAATCTCTCTCTACCTCTTCCATAAGAAGGCAATGGCTCTATTATGGGCCATTCCTTGGGGTCCTATTATCCAAACACATAAAAATAAAGAACAAAATCTGGAAAAAAAAAAAAGAAGGGTACAATAATGCATTAAATTTTGTACTTAAAAAGATTAATCCCATCAAAATTCAATTTGCCAAATAGTCACTAACCAAAAAAAAAGGAGAAGATGATGAAAAAGAACAAACTCTGTAGTTAAAACAGAGTAAACTCAAAAATAACTAATTCATAAATCAAGTTAAGCACAAGAAATAATTCAATCTCCATATACAATAACATTCTAACCCCTAATCCAATATTCAGCAGGTCAAAGAAAAACTTCTGTAGCACAAATGCATTCCCAATTAGTTTCTTTGGTGCAAGTAAGAGGAACAAAGGCTACAAAATACAAATTATAGCATTGCGGGTCCCATAAATTGCACTTCCGCATCAGAATCTACCTACCAACCACTCTTTCTCTTTTCCACAAGAAAGTGCTACAACAAAAGGGGAGTCATAAGCATGATAACCAAGACAAACAAGAGAAATATTTCAATTTATGGTAAAGTTGATTTCTGCTTTTCCAACCCAAAATTCTCAACCAAAAAGCATTCTTAAATTCTTCCTTTTCATGTTCCAAAAACCATACCTACCATTCTGTCTCCGACAACACATCAGCTCCACCGCCGCCGCCGCCGCCGCCGCCGCTTAACTTTTTATAGATCGTGACAGAACTTAAGCTAGATATTCATATCATTTTAAAAACTAAAATTCATAAATAAGAAATCAACAGAGAACCACCAAATGTAATCAGCCAAAATATAAAATTTTCAATCAAAATCATCAAAACCCAGAATTTGGATTAGAAATAGATAAATAAAAATAATGATTAGAGTACCTGAGAGCCTAAAATAACCGCACCCTCTTCAAGAAACAAGGTGAAATTACTGGTAAGATTAAAGCTTCCAGTAAGCCAGCTACCCTTGGGGACATTCAGCTGGGACCCACCTTTATCTCCAAAACGTTGCATGTGGCCTATCGCTTTTCGAAACGTTTCCGTATTAGACGTTGTGCCATCACCAACCCCACCAAAATCCTCGATAGACATGACAACTCCTCTCTTGGGCAACAATTCTTCGAAGAATCCGACGCAGCTCCCGCTATCTCCGGAAACATCACTATCCGTTTCAGATAATCCGGACTTGAACCGAATCGGGTAAACGGTTCTGCTGGTGATTTGTAAAGATAAAAGCACTAGAACGATGATCAAGAGAAGAAACGTCGACCAAGACAATCTCCTCATGATTGCACCATTAAAGTTTTGCTTCTGAAAATCCATTGATGCATCGAATTCGAATTAAAAAAATTAACAATAAAGCGGGTACAGTTTCTTGTTGTGTAGAAGATATAACAGTGAAAGAGTAATTTGCTTGCGTGTTGGTTATGGAAGGTGGTGGCTGTGATTCCGTGTGCGGGAGCAAGAAACGAAGGTGCCAAATGCCAATACGGCTGTGACTGTGATGTTGTTTCTATAATATTGGCGTAGTATTTTAAATCTTGTTCTAGAAGGAGGTGGAGGGTGCAAAGCAACCGCTATTCACGGGTGGGAAATTTTATTCGCTTTGACGTTTTTTCTTTTCTTGGGTAGTGATGGCATGCGTATGATGTGCATCGAAAGGCTCTATGCATGTTCGACGCGTGGGAATCATGATTGTTGGTCATGATGGGCATAAACTCATTTGTTTTATGCTATGTTTAGAAGGTGAGAGAGGAAGTAAAATAAGGATATAAAATATCATTATTCATTTTTCTTTAAAATATATTAGATTAAAAAGATGTAAAATGAATTTATTTTACATTTTATTTGGATATTTTCGCCCAAATTAAATAAAAAATTTTGATATTTCCGAAATATTTTCGCCTTTTATTTTACATTGATCCGTGTTTTACATCCAAACAAAGCATTAAGGGTTTGGCAGTATCAATTAATCCTTGTACTTAGCCAAATAAATTTTTTGGCCTTCTAAAATTTATAATTAACCGATGATGTCCCTCAATTTATTAAACTTGTAACCATTATGACCTTGCGTGGTCATTCCCAGCAATTAAAAGCGCGTGGCTTCACGCTATATCTTTTTCTTTCTATTTCCTTCTAGTCGTCTTCTTCTTCTTCCTTTTCTTTTTTTTTTTTTTTTTTTTTTCATTAAGGGTTTGGGCAGTATCAAACTTAATCCTGTACTTAGCCAAATAAATTTTTTGGCCTTTCTTAAAAAATTTATTAATTAACCGATGAGTCCCTCAATTTTATTTAAACTTTAAACCATTATGACCTTTGCGTGGCGTCATCCCAGCAAATTAACAAGCGCGTGGCCTTCACGCTATATCTTTTCTTTCTATTTCCTTCTAGTCGTCTTCTTCTTCTTCCTTTCTTTTTTTTTTTTTTTTTTTTTTTTTTTTTTTTTTTTGGGGCGACTTCTCTACTCTTCTTCTCTTTTAATTCTCTTCAAATTCAAATATTCTTATCCAAATTTAGAAATTATCACCTATTTGTACGTTTCCACTTCCATATCTTCAAAGTAATGGTTATCTATTGTCAATTTTGACAAATAGATTTCTTGTTTACATTTATCATCCATGGTGAAGGAGTTCCAAGATGTTTCTCCACTGCCTACTGCAAGAATTCACAAATTTAATGTGCCAAATATAGTTCTTCCTTCAGAATATGTATTAAAAAAATTTTACTTTCTTTCCGCTTCCGAATCTAAAATAAGTGTCTTTGTTTCTATTTCTTCATTTCTTATAAATGTATCAGTTTAATTTCTTTTTTTTTTTTTTTTTGCTTTATGGGTACTGCATTTCGAAGATGCATAGTGATCTTTGCTAAACTGTGTGTTGTTAGGATTGATTTTGGTGCTTTGGGTATTGCTTTCTAGTGTGTTTCTTATTGCATTCTAAGTGTTTGATTAAATACCTCTTAAAGTGTTTACATCTATTTACTCAACTATGGCTTCAAGCCCTTAGTTTTTCTTATTTCTTGACACTAGTTTTAATTAACTTGTAATTGTTGGTGCTCTTAAAGAAACAGTCATGGAGGAACGATAAGATGCAGAAGAGAGAAACAGAAAAAAACAGTGGTTGGGAGGGGGTTAAAGTGTTTCTTTGACACGTGGCTTTGTTTTATTGATTCACACTCTTTTTAAGCAATTGAAAACATGCACTTGATGGCTGGTAGTCATGGATATAATAATTACAAAATTGATAAGTTTGAGGATATGATTGGTCACTTGCGAAGTTTTGGAGTCCATTAAATTTTTTTTTTTTTAAGTATAAGGATTAATATATACATTTCATATATAATTTAACTTTTGGATTTCAATAAAAAAAATTTTTTAATAATCTTATATCACGTTAAATTTTAAAATCAACTTTGTGATCCCTCGATTTCTCTTTTTGTAAATCTTACATCATATTAAATTTTTAAAGTTTTGACTTTCATATACAAAATATTGATTTAATACGTGGTTGCCACAATTTTTGAAATAATAATTTTTATATTTTAATTATCTATTAAATATTTAATTGACCTAATTTTAAAAATTAAAGCACTCAATAGGTCAATCGAATTATTTAAATAGGTGCAATTTTATAAGTTGAAATGTTCAATAGATCAAAATGAAAATTGAGGGTGCCACAAGAGAAATACAGGGGTGAATTTATATATTGAACCGGGCTTAAAATAATCATTATATTTGTGATTGTGAAGGTTTTAATATTTTTATTTTGATATTTAAATGAAAAAAAATTGTAAAGTTGTAATTATATTTGAGTGAATTATTTTCCTGAAAAATTAAAATAGATCATTTTGCTTCTATAAATCATAATAGATGGAAATACGTATTCAATTTATCTCTTTTTTCTTTATTTATTTTTGTTTATTTTGTGTTGTTTTATATCTTTTCTCTCTAAAAAAACTCAAAACTTTCTTCTATTTTTTTTTATTTCTAAAACAATATTAAAACAGAGATAAAAATAAAAAAGAAAGATAATTGATCTAAATTGATTTAAGTATACACAAAGTAAAATATAGTTCATTTTGATTTTCTAATGAGAAATTCCCACTAAATAAATTTAATTATATCAAAATTATTAAGTTAGACATTTAATATAAAATATTAAGATACTATAAATTAAGAAACTAAGAAGTTCAAATACTAGAAATTTAATTAATCCATTAATTTATTGTGAAAACTCAATTCCAGGTATAATATTATATGTTGCATATGCACCATCTTTCCTTATTTCTTACATTTTTGGGATTGATTTATGTAAATACAAACTGTGGATCCATCATGAATCAAATTAATTAAAAATAATTGTTGAAACAAATGTATTTCCGACCATTCACTCAAAGAAAAATTAATAAAGTGAGAACAGTATTTAAAAATTATCTATTTTAATTGATTTGATACATATTTAATAAATAAATATGGATAAGTCTAATTTATATTTTTTATTTCTTAAAACTAAAAAAGGAATAGAAGAAAGGTGTCTTACCTGGCCGGTGTTGAATCCGTCAAAATTAATAATCTCACTACCAATCTAAAGAACTTGAAGAAAATGGCAAGTAAGGTCGAAATCCACAGAAACTAGAGAATAAAAATATTATTTTTAAAACCAGAAAATAAAAATGAATTATGAATGGGAGGATTGGAAAAATTATTGAATCTAGCAAAAATAGTAATTTAAAAATGGTTGAATCTAGCAAAAATAGTAATTTAAAAATTGGAAATTCATTGGAAGAAACATTTTCCGGCCAAGAATCAAAATCTTTGTAACTAGTTCCTTCCATGTTGATCACTGATATTCAAATTGACTCATTAACTATAATCATAAATTGGTTATGGTTACCAAATGCTTTAAACAACCTAGTCTTTCTCGTAGAAACAGAATAAACAAAGACAACGCGCTTTGAAATTAATCCCTTACCAATAACTAAATTTTACAACAGCGCCTAAAATTTAAAATATAATTGGTAGCATTAGAATAAGAAAGACCCAATTCAAATCTAATAAACAACGATGTGTCAGTCTATTCCAAGGAAGATTGTTACCCCTTTAATAATAACTTGAAAAATCTTGGCTTCTAAACAAGCCTATAATTAATTGCTACAAATTTGTTAACGTAATCAAACAATTACGGTTTGATTAATTAACTAGCACCTGTCACTCTAAATTAATCAAATAACTGGCCATTTACTTAATTAAATAGAACAAGAATATCCATCTAAACCATTAATTGCAAGAGATAAACAAATATTGAAGAGTTAAATGAGTGAAAAGAAGAACAATTCTCACAACACTTCGGTAGAACTAGCACTTGATTAAACCTTAAGCTGGAATTGAAAGAATTCAGCCACGTATGGCCATTTCCAAGCTTACAAACTAAAGAAAAAAATTATTAACTCAAAACTCTGATATCCCAACTAATAGCCCATCTCTCCCTTTTATAGAAGAGAAGAGAAGACTATTTCAAAGGAAACTGAGAAAAATACATTTACAATCAAATCAAATCCAACAAAATACCCAACAAAATAAAAATTCCATGATCTCTCTATTCTTCAAAACCTTTGAATAAATCTTCCAAAAGAATCAGCAGCTCCATCCTCTGCTTAGTGATTTTTATGCAAAAAGGCAAATAAATAGAGTCAAACTATACCTGCATCTATTTTAATCAACAATCTATTTAATCACATAGACCAACAAACCCATCAAAAATATCAAATTATATGACTAAAATAGTCACATTTTCATAGGTTATTCGGCACAAATAATAATGCCATCAAATTCCCCCACACTTAATATTTGCTTGTCCTCAAGGAAAAACTCAATCTACATAAAAGGAAATTCACCCAACTCTTCACAACTCTTATAAGAACATCTTTAGAAAAGCAACCTTAATTACAAAAGTAAAGCTGAGTTGAATATTCAAATCTGAAATCTATGGAGAATAAAGAATTGAATTCACATTCTTTCAAACATAATAGACCTGGCTTGAACTTTGTAATTTTAAACATGCAATTTAAATTCCATATCAATTAAACCATTGCTTAAAGAATTATTTGTTAAACAGCTTGGTCACAGAAAATCATAAATCATTGGCAATCACCACCACAAAACAAAATAATGCTGACTTTTATTTTTTTTTTTTTTTTTTTTGTGCTTGAATATTTATCAATTGCCTGAGTGTGTCATCGTTGGTAACCCGCTTGCGGGTACTTGGAGTCACAAACTCAAGTGGCTACTAACACTACTCTTTGCCCAAACTCGGACAGCGGAGTACCTCGACTTCCTATGTTCTCCAACAGCATCCACGTCCATATTGCACTTCTTTACAGCCCAATAAGCTCGATATTCTAATTCCACCGGTAAATGGCATGGTTTCCCAAAAACCATTCGGTAAGGAGACATTCCTATAGGTGTTTTATAGGTTGTGCGATACGCCCACAGAGCATCATCTAAACACAAACTCCAATCCTTTCGATTTGGACTCACTGTTTTCTCCAGAATTGACTTAATTTCCCTATTCGATACTTTCGCTTGCCCGCTTGTCTGAGGATGGTAGGCGCTTGTCTGAGGATGGTAGGCAGTAGAAGTTCGATGAGTAACCCCATATTTCTTGAAGAGAGCTTCTATTGTCTTATTACAAAAATGTGTCCCTCGATCGCTAATGATAGCTCTTGGAGTTCCAAACCTGGCAAAAATATTAGACTTCACAAAATCCACCATAGTTTTAGCATTATTATTTCGACAAGCCTTAGCTTCTACCCACTTAGAAACATAATCAACAGCAAGCAATATGTAAGTGTAACCAAAAGAAGCAGGAAAAGGACCCATGAAGTCTATACCCCACACATTAAAAATTTCACAAATCAAAATAGGATTAAGGGGCATTTGATCTCTATGTCCTAAATTTCCAGTTCTTTGACAATTAGCACAAGCTTTACAAAAAATATATGAATCATGGAATTATGTTGGCCAATAAAATCCACATTCAAGAACCTTACGAGCTGTTCTCTTAGGTCCAAAATGACCACCACAAGCATAAGAATGACAAAATGTAAGAATGGACTTGTAAGAATGGACTCAACCTCATCATTAGTGACACACCTTCTAATTATTTGATCTGAACAATATTTCCACAAATAAGGGTCATCCCAAGCACAGTATTTGGCATCACTTTTAATTTTATCTTTTTCATGCTTAGTTAAATCATCAGGCAATGATCTAGTAACTAAGTAATTGACAATGTCAGCAAACCAAGGAGTACTATTACTTAAAGAAAAAAGATACTCATCTGGAAATGCATCATTTAAAGGTAGAGTTTCCTCTGTCAAAGGTACCCAGCTAAGATGGTCTGCCACCAAATTTTCAGACCCCCTCTTAATGTCTTAATTTCTACATTAAATTCTTGCAGTAAACAGATCATCTTTTAGCCTAGGTTTTAAGCTTCTTTCTTCTTCACAAATACCGCAGAGCTGAATGATCAGAAACACAATAACCTTAGTGCAAAGCAAATAAGAACGGAATTTTTTTCTAAAAGCAAATACAAATAGCTAACAGTTCTTTTTCCCCGTTGTGGAGTAGTTGCTTTGAGACTATCAAGTGTTTCTTGAGGGCATAATAAATAACATGAGGTTCCTTGCCCAATCTCTGCCCAAGAACAAGCCCCTACAAGCATGATTGCTAGCGTCAACACATTATCTCGAATGGAAAACACACATTATCTCGAATGGAAAATTCCAGTTTGGAGCTTGAACAATAGGGGCTGTGATCAACTTCTCTTTCAATATGTCAAATGCTTGCTTACAGGCTTCATCAAACTGAAAATCAGCATCCTTTTGCAAGAGTTTACATAAAGGTTGAGCAATATTTGAGAAGTTCTTGATAAATCGCCAATAAAAGCCTGTAAGTCCAAGAAAAGAGCGAACTTCCCGTACACTTACGGGGTAAGGTAAAGATTTTATAACATCGACTTTTGCCTTATCTACTTCTATACCCCTAGAAGAAACAATATGACCCAAAATAAGCCCTTGATCAACCATAAAATGACATTTTTCATAATTAAGAACAAGGTTAGATTCTAAGCATCTTCCCAAAATTTTTTCAAGATTTATTAAACATTCATCAAAAGAATTTCCATAAATAGTAAAATCGTCCATAAAAACTTCTATAATGTTCTCTACAAAATCAGAAAAGATACTTACCATACATCGTTGAAACGTTCCTGGGGCATTGCAAAGCCCAAACGACATTCGTCGGTAAGCAAAAGTTCCAAATGGACATGTGAATGTTGTCTTTTCTTGATCTTCGGGTGCAACTGGAATTTGATAAAATCATGAATATCCATCTACACAACAATAATGAGTTCTACCCGCTAACCTTTCAAGCATCTGGTCAATAAATGGCAGCGGAAAGTGGTCTTTCCTCGTTGCCTCATTTAGTTTCCTGTAATCTATATAAACACGCCATCCATTTTGAACTCGAGTAGGAACTAACTCACCATCGGGATTTTCTACCACAGTAATGCCTGTTTTCTTAGGTACTACATGAACGGGGCTTACCCACTTTCTATCTGAAATTGGATAAATCACACCAGAATCCAAAAGCTTTATGATTTCTTTCTTGACAACCTCCATCATAGGTGCGTTAAGACGCCTCAGTGCTTCTCTCCTTGGCCTGCTATCTTCTTCAACCTGCTACTCTCTTCAAGCAAAATTTTATGCTGCCATATGGATGGAACTTATGCCTTAATGGTCCAGCAATAGTCACCTAATAGCATTCTTTATACTTCATAAGAACCGTGAATTAACCTTCTCCTCCTCCCTCCTTCTTGAAGTTTATTTTTGAAAATAATCCACTGGAAGGGTTTCTTCTTCACCCAAAAACACATACTTCAAATTGTTGAGGCAAGCGGCTTAAGCTCCAATTTTGGTGGCTGCAAAAACAGAAGGCAAAGACATGGTGGACATTAGGTAAATTAAATTATAGGTCCATCACTTACCTTAAGGGTCTTTGTGCTTTTAATGTAAGCACCACTTCAATGCAATTCCTTCTTCCAATCCACAAACTTTTCCTTCAAGCTTTCCAAGGCCTCTCTTGAATTTAAGTTCATTTGCAAAGCACACCTTAAGCTTATCTTCTTCATTCAAATGAAGTACTTTTTCAGTCAATGGTTCAATAACATCCATGCCACAAACAGAAGAAAACATCATATTGGGAAATTTCATGGCATCATAAACATTAAAATTTAATCACCTCACATCAAATTCATACTTAATGTCCCTCATACAAATTTATCTTAGTTCTAAAGCAGACTAAGAAAGGGTCTTCCAAGCAAGTAAAATTACAGGAATTAGAAGATTTTAATCATCCTCCATATCCAATAACATAAAAAATCTGCTGGAAATATTAGGGGGGAGTTATTCACCTGAACTAAACATCTTCACACTCTCTTGGGGTAAACTATAGATCTATCGGCAAGAACATAAGTATCCCTAGTTTCTTTTTAAAGGGCCAGCATTTAGTTGCAAATAAATAAAGAATAAGGCATACATTTATTGATGCTCCTTAAATCAACATAGCCCTATCAATCCCGAAATTACCAATTTGACAAGGTATGGGCAAACATACCTTTGTCTTTTGATTTTTGGCTAATTTTCTTTGAAGCAACAGCAGAAACATTGTTCTATATACCCAGATAATTTCTTTTTATTAGTGCACAACTCTTTAAGAAACTTTGCGTACCTGGGTATTTTCTTGATAGCATCGAGTAGTGGAATATTGATTTCCACTTTCCAGAATATGTCAAGAATTTCTTTCTCTTCTTCTTCCCTCTTAGACTTGGCAAATCTTTGAGGAAAAGAGGGCTGAATCTTTAGAATTTCAGATTTCTCCAACTCCGCACCATCGGTTGGCTTGACCTTCTCTACTTCTTCCTCCAGTACCAAGTCACGTACACAATTTTTTGCTGTTGGAATTTCCAGCTCCTTGCCACTCTTCAAAGTAATTGCATTTGCATTCTGTTTCGTTTGCATTCTGTTTTCGGATTCAAAATAGTTTTGAGAAGGTAACTTAACCTTGAAACTCCTAACTTACCCCAATGAAGTGGATAATTGGCTAACTTGGTTCTCAAATTTTGGATGCTAGTTTCGTGTCTCTTGCTGAATGAAATTGCATAGTGTTAGTAGCAAGTGATTTAACAATGTCTTCAAGAGACATACCTGAACTAGAAGATCCATGATCAGGTGCTGGCTGCCTATTCTGAAATTTCGAAAAATTTGACGGCTTTGTTCCGTAGCTCAAATTTGGATGGTCTTGCCAGCCCGAATTATAGTATTTGAATACGGATCATATTTCCATTGAGGACCTGAAAAATTTCCCATTGCATTGGCTTGTTTTTGACTTTCATCTTGCAAAGTTGGACACATGTCTATAGGATATCCAGTATAGGCGCAAATTCCACAAGCTTTAACTTGCTGCCCTTTCCCTACAACTAAATTCTGAACCAAAGATGTTAAATCATTAATTTTATTTTCAAGAGAAGTCAAGAGAAGAAAACTTACCTCATTAATTTTCTCGAAGGTTCATGGCGAGACCAATTGTTTGAAGAATTTGCAGCCATCGTGGAAGAAATCAATTCCCTTGCGGCTTGGGGAGTTTTATTATCGATTGCTCCACCACTTGCTGCATCTATCATTTGCCTCTCCATAGGTAATAAACCTTCATAAAAATACTGTATTAAGGCTTGATCTCAAAACCCATGTTGCGGACAGCTTGCGCACATTTTCTTAAATCTCTCCTAATACTCATATAGAGTTTCATTATTCTTTTGTCGACTCCCACAAATATCTCTTCTAATGTTGGCAGCCCTTGAAGCAGGAAAGAATTTATCTAAGAAAGTTCTTACCATTTCTGTCCATGACGTAATAGATCCGGATGGCAAATAAAATAACCACTCTTTGGACTCTTTGGCAAGAATCGGCTAAAGAAGAAAGGAAAAGCTCTTAAATTTTATTTGTTGCTGAGAAAATTCCATGGGGTTCAATGGTAAAAAGAGCATAACAACATGAAATTCCTTTAAATGTTTGTGAGGATCTTCATCCAACCCACAACCTCTAAAGGTGGGCAATAATTGATCAAACCTGATTTTAAGCTCAAATGCAGCCTCCCAAGGCTGGGTATGTGATGCAAAGGAGTTTGATTAATTGGAGGTGTGCCAACTCCCTTAATGTCTCTGATCAGCCCATCTCCTCTTTTCTGGTTCAAAACTACCATGAACTTTCAGAAAGTTCAAGGAACAACAGTCTCTTCTGGGTGTGAAGTAGTTGTAGGAACTTCAGGATCGACTTGTTTGCTCTAGAGTTACTGTAGCATGCTTGTAGACAATTGTTTTCTTCCTGCTTTCCATTTTCTCAATCGTCTAAAGCAGTTTTCTCGATTTCCAGAAATCGTATTGGAGATCACCTGTACTATCTGATCTGGTCCATAAAAAACAATATAATTAATTAACTCTAGTCCCAGCAACCGACGCCGCGTCGAATCCGCCAAAAATAATTAACCTGCTCTCCTACAAAATAAAACTTGTAAATATGGTGAGAAGGGTCGAACCCTAGGGATTAGCTTTGTCAAAAATAAACCAGAACTGAAAATAAAATTAAAAACAAAAATTGAAATGGGGGAATTTAATAATCAAACTAAACGAATTAAAATTAAATCAAAGAAATAAATGCAATAAAATTAAAAATTGAGCCTGAACAATTGAAAGTAAATTCAGCCAAGGCATACCGCGATTCGAAGGTTTGATTCGATTGATCATTGACTTAAGATTAATTCCTTAATTCATATTACAGACAAGTTATAGCCAGGAAGAACGTCGACCCAACCAATTCTACTATAGAAATAGGTTGCTAAGATACGATCTAATAACAACCCCTAATTAATTAGCAATCCTAAGTACGACGAAGGATTTAACTGTTAGCAGCTTTAAAATCTAATAGAACCCTGCCCAGATTAACAGAAACTACGAGCATCCATTTAAATCTGATTATATTCTTTCTTAATACAATCTAAAAAGTTCTACCCAATGAAGTTATATTAATTACTACTGCATCAACCTAACCAAACAATTATGGATTTGATTACGCCGAATAGCTATGGAAATTTCTACCAAACAACATAACGGGTCCCGTTAAATCATTCAATAGAATTTCGCTAGGGGATATATTTTCCCAATAAATCACAGAAAGAATATAAATGCAGTAGAATAAAGAAATTCAATTAAGTTCAATACACAACACTTTGGTAGAACTAGCAGTTGATTAAACCTTAAGCTGAATGAAAGCAATTTCAGCCACGTATGGCCATTTCCAAGCTTTACAAACTAAAGAAAAAATTATTAACTCAAAACTCTGATATCCCAACTATAGCCCATCTCTCCCTTTTATAAAAGACAAGAAGAATACTATTTCAAAGGAAACTTTGAGAAAATATATTACAATCAATCAAATCCAACAAAAGTTAAAATCCATGATCCTCTCTATTCTTCAAAACCTTTGAATTTTGAATAAATCTTCCAAAAAGAATCCAGTAGCTCCTCATCCTCTGACTTAGTGATTTTATCCCAAAAAGGCAAATAAATAGAGTCAAACTAATACCTGCATCTATTTAATCACATGGACCAACAAACCCATCAAAAATACCAAATTATATGACTAAAATAGTCACATTTTCATAGGTTATTCGGCGCAAATAATAAACCCATCAAATAATACGTTTTGATTACCATAAGGAGATCTCTTATTTTATTTCTCCATATATGGTAATTTGCACCATTTAGACTGATCATTTTGGTTGTCCATTTTGACTTGCTCAGAACCCATCATTACCATTCATGAATTTCTTTATTTTAATTTAAATTAATTAAATTGTTATTTTTTAACTTTAATCAATTAAGATTTCAAATAAATCAAGTTTTAGAAAATATTAATCGAGTTTTGTAATAAAAATTAAATGTTGGTCCTACTTAAAAAAATAAGACAAAATTAACTATTTATAATAAAGGATAGGGAAAATAATTATTTCGTCCCTCAGGTTTATCATAATTATTTAAGTAGTCCCTTACATTTTATATAATATATAACTTGTCCCTAACATTTAACTTCGTCTAATTAGAAGGTCCTTCCATCTAAATATAGGGTATTTTACCGTTAAAATCATATAAAAACCAAGAGAGAGGTGAGATAATAATTTTGTAAAGACACATTATTCCCTTATTGAAGTGTGCATAAAAGAAAGAAGGTTTGACTGTATTTGATAAGGAACAAAATCAGAAAATGCATGAAAATTAAAATTACCAAAAATAGGATTTGAAGCTCAGTGGAGAAGAGATAGCCGACTATGTCTTGTTCAAGCGCAGTGGATGGAGCATGGGAAGGAAGGTTTGTGAATATGTATTGCAATTGCAGGAAAAAAAAGCAGGGATTAGGATCTCTGAGACACAAAAGAAAACAAAATCGGCTATATTATTACTGTATTGATAATGCATGTAGGTATTTCCTTGGATGGTGTAAGGCTATAGGTTCATTAGATTGGTATCAAGGAAGTGATTTGGAAGTGAGGCAAAAAAATGTACCTATTGGCTTGTTTGTGTTTGAAATGAAGGAAGAGATATTGTATCTCAAGGGGAAGTTAATGAAAATGCACATTGAGATTGTGATAATTGGAGGAAAAAGGGAGTGCTTAGAGTCGAAGATTAGCAACTTGAAGAAGTTGATTTTCATATGCTTTTTACCTTACTTGTAATTTTGCTTGCAAGGGTAACTGAAGATTGTGATTTATATATATATATATTTTTTTTGTGTATATTTTGAGTACTTGGGTAGTTTTTGTAAAGGCACCTTTTAATGTGGTGGGTTAGTTGTTGTTGAATGTTAGGTACTCAAATTCAATGCAATGGACTAATTTACAGATGAATTGAATGTAATAGACCTTTGGAAGAAAAAAAAATGCATACTTATTAATTCTAAACTTATTTAGTGGTGAGTATCAGAAATGATAAGAGTAAAGAAAATTTTGAATATATTAAAATAGTCTCATTCTCATTAATCATCTGTTTCTAATTCACAAAAATCAAAACCAACTTATTTCATAATATGTGCATTACAAAAGAACTCAAATGAAACTTGGTTCACATGCACTTGAGTTTTTCCTGTAATCACTTCAGTATTTGCTGTGAAGAAAAAGATATACACAAAGAGCAAAAAAAAAAAAATGATACATTTGTTCCTGTGCTTGCAACAAAATCAAAAAAAATTCATATTCTCCTTGTCTTCATATCTTGAAAACCAGTTTCCCCCTAAACTAAGTGTATCTGTAAAATTCATATGACCCCTAAAAAAAAAAATACTAGCTTGTCCATCTGCATGATACCAATAGCCCCAAAATACCATATGCAACATATCAACAATCCAAAAAAAAACCATCTGCAGCATATCAACAAACAAAATACCATATTCAACATATCAATAACCCAAAAAAACCATCTACAGCATGTCAACACACAGAAAAAAACACTAGTTTCTGCAGCATATCTTCAAAACCCAAAAAACCAAATATTCAAGACATAGGAGCTCCTCTCCCAGTAGAAATAGAAGGGCCTCTCCCTCAAGAAACAACAGCTCCTCCCATCGTAGAAACAACAGGTCTTGTACCTCCCTCTTAAACCAGAAGCACCTCTCCCTCTTAAACCAGAAGCACCTCTCCCTCTTAAACTAACAATACCTCTTCCCAAAGAACCAACAGTACCAGGAGATCTAAATACTTTTTTTCCTCTTTGCACAAATTGTTTATTCCTCTGATAAAACAAGTGCGATAAATATTAAAAATCTAAGGAATTCATAAAAGAGCATACTAAAAACTCAAATTGCAATAAGTGAATCTGACCTGAGAATTGGTTGGTGTGGCTTGGTCACATGTTCTTTTATTATGTCCTAGTTATTGCATATCACACATGCAACTTGTTAGAGCTCTCCTCATATGAACCTGCAGCTTGCTCTGTAGTAACTATCCTTGCCTTATGGCGCTGCCAATGTTGAGGCTCAATACCCCCATTTTTCCTTTAATTCAGTTTGCATTAAAGCAATGCTCATTCCTGGATCAACAACCAATTGAGATTCCAATTTCTTCCTCTCCCACTTAGCTGTAGCATTTGGATTCTTATTATCCAATGGCCTCATGCATGTATGCTCAGGCTGCAATGTTTTTACTATAAAAGTAACTATGTTTGGAGCCACACTGCCATGGAATCTAAATGAGCACCCCTCCCCTTTACATTTTGTTGTCACTCTTATAGTCTTATTCTTGATCATCCCTATTATGAACCCTCCCTTGACAACATAATCCCTTAAAGCTTCCCTACAACTGTCAACACTTAAGAATGCATGCCCAATTCTGAATTCGATATCACCTTTAGCTGGTGTTTCGAACGTATATATTTTCATATATTTTCTTCCAAGGATCTGTTGTTTTCTTTCTAACTCTCATCCTTCTTGGTGCATCAACCTCCATCTTAAAGCTTGCAGCTAATTGTTCCTTGTCAGTATCAAAATCACTAAGACCATCATCAACATCATTATTGAATTCAATATCCTCTTCTCGATCTCTTTCCACCCCCATATGTTTCAAATTCACTACTTTCATCTTCAGTACCAA